AGGAGGAGGAGAAGGAGAAGGAGGAGGAGAGAAGGAGGAGGAGGAGGAAGAGAGGAGGAGGAGGAGGACGAGAAGGAGAAGGAGGAGGAAGAGAGGAGGAGGAGGAGAAGGAGGAGGAGGAGAAGGAGAGGAGGAGGAGAAGGAGGAGGAGGAGGAGGAGGAAGAGAGGAGGAGGATGGGAGGAGGAGAAGGAGAAGGAGGAGGAGAGAAGGAGGAGGAGGAGGAAGAGGAGGAGGAGGAGGAAGAGGAGGAGGAGGGGAGGAGGAAGAGGAGGAGGATGAGGAAGAGGAGGAGGAGGGGAGGAGGAGTTGGCAGAAACACTTTGTAGAGTGCAGCACCATTTACTTAAAATTTCAAAGTGATCCAAAGGCTGTCTCCTGCTGATGCACCTCCTGAGTGTTAAAAGCCTGGCACACAGATGAGAAGAATGGTAAAATCTCGGCACTAATGACACCTGAGCAGGAGAGGTCCAGGGCCTTTGGGGTCCCACTCATGCTCTGGGAGCTGAGCCCCCAGCATTTGCTACCCCATGGCCTAAGCCCACTTCCCTTCCTGAAGGAAGGGGCCAGTGGCTGCTGAGGAGGGGGTAAGAGGAGAGATGGGGGCAGGAAGGCAGAATCTGAAGCGGGAAGGAAGGGGTTTCAGTCAGTTTTTTTTTTTTTTTTTTTTTTTTTTTTTTTGCCACTGTGACCAAAAGACCTGACAAAAGGAGGAAAAGTCTATTTGGAGACTCATGGTTTCTGGGGTCTCAGTCCATAGAAGGCGGCTCCATTCCTTGGGTCTTGAGGTGAGGCTGAGCATCATGGCAGAACAGTGTGGTGGAGGAACGTGGCCCAGAAAATGGCACCAAGAAGCCGAAAGCTCCACTCGACAAGGACAAAACATATACCCGAAGGCAGGCCCCCAATGACCCCCACCCCAGCCACACCCTACCGGCCTCCATTACCACTCAGTGCATCCCTCTTAGTGGATCAACGTACTGATTAGGTTAACGCTCTCCTAACCAGTCGTTTGACCTGAAGCCTTCTTGTGTTGTCTCACACTTGAGCTTTTAGGGCACACCTAATGTCCAAACCACAACAGTAGGAGATTCCAACTGCATCTGTGATGTGTTAGTACTTTGTAACAGTACACCTGAAACAGACATCATCAGATGACCTTTGCTAGCTCTGGGGCTGGTTGGATTTGTTATTGCTCTTTTTTTAAAACAGGTGTCTCATACAGCATTTATGTTTCAAGGGTTGTTGTGGTTTACATTAAAAATGAGAAAGCATTATCCGATGTTATAGAAGAGGGAACTAGCCAATGTCACTGGGCAGTGAGGGGGAGCGGGGAGTTGAATCCAGTGGGTCTGGCTCCAACATCTGCACTCCCAGAAAACACACACACAGGACCCATTTGTCCACTTGGTCAGATTGCTTCATTTTTAAAAGGTAACTAAAATAAAAATACCCTGGCCGCTATAATACAAAGAAAAAGAGAATTATATGAGTAGTTCTGCTGGCATTCAGGGTATTTTTGAAGCTCAGCCTTGAGCTTCAAATGAGCACTGTCCTCATTGGGAGTGCAATGAAGAGTAGCTGGTAACAGGGTGGTTAGGAAAGGCTTCTGAGACCGGGTGCTGACATCAGAAGCACTTCTTGCTGGACAGTGAGCAGGGAGGGATAGGAGGATGAAATTACCAGAAGAGGGAACTTCATGTACACAGGTCTAGAGTTAGGAAAATTCAAGAAGGATTTGAGGACTAGCACATAGTTCTGTTTGGCTGTCTATGAGAAGAGAATTTGATGAGGGACATTGGTTAGGACTTTGAAAGAGGGAATGAGATTGACGATTTAATTTGGAAAATAAAATGAGCGCCTTCAAGTTGCACAGTGGAAAGAGGATCCTGAGATCAGGTGGGAGCCCTGAGGGGATCCCAGGGCAGCCCCCCTAGCTGGGAGGAACTAGGGGCTGAGGAGAGATAGTGGATATGCATGAAAGAAAGGACATGCATGAGTGTCCCCTCTAGTCCCAAACAATGATGAGCAGTCACTTCAGTGCACCAGGCACTGTTGGAGGTGGTGGGAGTTCAGAAGTGACCCAAACGGAAAGCTTTCTGTCCTTATGGAATATGAGTGGTAGCATGTTAGGGTCTGTAAACAAGTCAAGATGGTGCCTGGCATTTTGCCAGAGGGAGTGGTTTGTGAAGTAACACCAGCCAGCGATTAAGTGTGGAGATTCCTTATTAGTTGACTGTTGTATCTAGTTTATGTTAATTAGATAAGCTGTGTGGACTGTATATATACCCCTCCTGTCCTACAATAAACGGCTCCCACTCACTCGTGCTGTATAAATGTACACAAGTTGCTCCCCCCCCCCCCCCCCCCCCCCCCCCCGTTATTTTGCTGCAGCCGGACTGCGGCAGTAGCAGACACACACAGATGAGATAAACAAGGTGGATGACTAAAACTGTCTGATAAACAAATGAATAAAAAACATCTAGATGTCAGATGGTGGGGAAAGCTTGGGAGATGAGACGTTGGAGGGGATGGACTCTGACCACCCCATGTCAGAGTAAAGACCTGGAGTGTGGGGTGTTAGGATGATGCCGACATCCTGAGTCTGGGACCAGGAGAGACCTGTTTATACCAAAAGGAAGCCAGGAGGAGCAGGATTGGGGAGGACAGGTTGAGTCGGAGGTGCAGCAGGCAGTTAAGAGACAGATTCTGGAGCATAAGGCTCACAGACCCGGAAGTCACTGCTGAGTAAGTTTCAGCTTCTGAGGTCAGAGAGAGCAAGATATAAAGTATTAGTGTGCAGGTACAGTGTGACCCGCACCACCAGGTGTTTATTTATCCCGCACAGTATCTATAGTCCTTGAGCGAGCCCCACAACACTGAGGTTAACTTGGCAGCAAAGAACAACAGTAGTTAAGAGCTAAGGCTTAGGAAGTGCAAAGTGTGTGGTGCTCTCCTGGAATTTTAGAACTATTCATATATTCAGCCCTCACACTGGCCCTTTGAGGGAGGGAGGTTCTTAGCCTCATTTGACAGACAGGACAACTGGGGCTGGCCAATTAAATTGTCCAAGGTAATAAGCTGGTGAGGGGATGAGGCCGCTGGAATCCAAGGGAAGGGAGAAGATACAGGAGTCTGCATTCTTTCCACCTCTGGGGCCCTTGAAAAAAAGCAAGTTAAAGGCAGAATTCGGGTGGATACTTTTGGGAGGGGCGGTGTCCTAAAGAGGAGCTGGGGGAACTCTCAGAACAGGCACAGAAAGGCAAGAGGTTGGGGCATGCAAGAAATGCGCCACCCGTGGTGCCCAGTGGTCCCCCTAGCCAAAGCTGGTGGCCCCAGCTATCCCAGTGAGACCTTGCAGCCTGGGCTAAAGCAGAGAGTGGTCCAGAGGCGGATCTGACAGGGCTGTGCGAAATCTCTTGTGAGCAATACAAAAGCTGAAAATATGGATTCAAATCAACCAAACAACTTCCTTCCCGAGTACTCAGGCTGACAGTAGGTCAGAAGGCCTGGGTCAAGGAAACCTGCAGGGGCCTGGCCTTGAGATGGTCCCTCTCACCCTAACCTCAGGACTCTGAGCAAGTCTCTTAACCCTTGGGGTTGCTCTGTTGAATATATCGGGCAATCTCTGAGATGTCGCCAAAATCTAATCCTGCGCTGAGTGGAGGGCCTGGGCAGCACTCTTGTCGAAAACTGGCGGCCCGGGCCGAGGGGCGCAGAGCGGCCTCTGTACGCACAGATGGGGAGGACTGCAGGGGGTACCCCAGGGTCCCGGCCCCAGAGACGCCGCGACGCGCGCGTGCCCTTGTCCCCTGGGGTTGCTCTCGGGATTTAGGAGAGACCCAGCCGAGTAGCTCTGGGAGTGGTTGGTGACCCTGGAACTTTCCTCTTCTGGAGCCTGAATCAGGGCGGATGGCAGAGCAGGCTGCTGGCAGGGACCGAATGGAACTCCGCGCCAGGCCTGAGGCTGTGCCGGTCACTCGCAGTACCGGGCCGGGTCCTGGGTCCCTGGCGCGCGGTGGCTCGCAGCCAGGGTTCGCCTCCCGGGTCCCGCCAAGCTCCCACCCGGACCCCACGCGCCCGCGGCAGCACCTCCTGGGACCAGGGACTGCGGAGGGCGCCCGCGGCGGGGAGGCGGGGGCCGCGGGGAGCAGGAGGAGCGGCGGCCGCGGGCGCGGCGCCAAGGCGAGTGAGGCGGGTGGCGCGGGGGAGGCGGCGGGGTAAAGAGCGGCCGCCAGCGGGGCCCGCGGGTCACTCCGAGGCCCGGCGGCGGGCGGCAGGACGCGCTCGCAGGGTCGCGCGGCGGCGGCAGGCGCACCATGCCCTCCTTCGACGAGGCGCTGCTGCGGGCCGGCGAGTTCGGGCGCTTCCAGCGGCGCGTGTTCCTGCTGCTGTGCCTGACCGGCGTCACCTTCGCCTTCCTGTTCGTCGGCGTGGTCTTCCTAGGCAGCCAGCCCGACCACTACTGGTGCCGCGGGCCGAGCGCCGCGGCGCTGGCCGAGCGCTGCGGCTGGAGCCCGGAGGAGGAGTGGAACCGCACGGCGCCCGCCCTCCGCGGCCCCGCGCCCTCCGAGCGCCGCGGCGACGGCAGCTGCCAGCGCTACCTCCTGGAGGCGGCCAACGCCAGCGCCGCCGCGGGGGCGCTCAGCTGCGCAGACCCGCTCGCCGCCTTCCCCAACCGCTCCGCGCCCCTCGTGCCGTGCCGCGGCGGCTGGCGCTACGCCCAGGCCCACTCCACCATCATCAGCGAGGTAAGGGCGCATCCGCGGCGCTGCCCGCCGGGCGCCGCGGCGACAGAGCCGGGACCTAGAGTCTCTGCGGGACGCGCCTGTCGCCCCAGGGGAGCCAGCGGGAGTGACGACGCTCCGGGTTCCCGCGACTCGGCAGGTGTGAAAAGCTGGCCAGGAGGGATAGGTTGGCTACCTTGGGGGACCAACACGTTCCTCCCACACGTGGAAGTGCTGCGTCGTCAGGCCAGGAAAAGCTTCCCCTCCGCCAGCGAGTTACGGAGAGATGCTTGGATTTCAGGTGTGAAAGGAAACGCTCCTAGAAGCGAGTCACAGAGTTCCCACACACCTGCGCGGCAAACAAAGCGCAGCGCGTCCGACGTGCGCACGGTGTTGGTGTTGACGCAGGATTGGAGATTATGGGTCTCCTCGTGGCAGGGAACTTCTGTCTCTGGGGCGAGTGACCTTGCCAGGTCTGGATGGGCTCTGAGTCTCCAGGGAGCAAAGGAGAGGGGAAATGTTTGAAGGCAGCACAACTTTTCCCAGTGGCCCAGATGATTATTTGAAATGCAAACGGACAGAGGTCAAGGCTCTCCAGGGAGAATGGCTTTGGTAAAATTGCTTTGGGGCAAAGAGCGACATCTGAGAGAAGTTGGGAGAGCTGAGATATTGGACCAAAGTTTACGGTTTTTTCCTACTGATAAACTACAGGAAAAGAGTAGGACCGGCTGCAAGCCTTACAAAGTGGGCTCCCTTTCACCCGAAGTGGCGGCTGGATTGGGGGGAGGGGGTTAGTCCCCCTGCATGGATGGGTGTGTGTACATGCAGCACCTTTGGAGGTCAGGTCTCCCCTTTTCTGCCCCCTGCTAGGCTGGCAGTGCGGTTTATGGGTTGGCATTTAGTAATACCCCCAGAAACTGCCTCAATTGAGCCCAACTCACGGGGATAAGCGGTTTATTGGATACTGACTACTTAACTTTTACAAAATGAATGTGTTAGGTAAATGGAGAAAAAATAGACTTTATTTTTGTTATAAACATTTTTAAAACACCTACTTAGATACTGGGGAAACACTGAATGGGGAGGTAGGACCAATGCTATGGATGCTCTTTGGTTTGTGACCTCATGTATCTGGAGTTGGGATACAGATGCTTGAGGTTCTACTTGTTCTAGAAGGCCACTGTGGGCACTTTAGCATACTGACTTGTCCTATGAGAAGTGCCCATAACACCCAGCTGTGGTGTGTGGGGTGTGTGTGTGTGTGTGTGTGTGTGTGTGTGGTTGGGGCCCTTTCATTTCTACTTAATCCCTGGGTGGGCTGAGGACTGCTGTGTGAGCCATGGTGGTCTCCTTGTTAGGAACTTCACAGTGACATGGCTGGAGAGAGGCCTTGGTGAGAGCGCGCTATCGCTTGTGCTTCTCCAGGGCTGTACCCTGTGGGTGGCTGCTTCCATGCACTCAGCAGGGCTGGTTATGCTTGCTTCCCAAGACAACCAGAGGAGCCTGGTTCCCAAAGACATTTAAAAATGAAGAGCAAAATGAGCCCTAAAAAGCAAAATGCCACACCCTTGAGTGAGGTAATCCTTGCATATCAAAGAAGTGAGAGAGAAAAATCTGTACGTTAATGATCTGACAGGTACTTCAGAAATATTATATGGTTGCAGGTTACTAGCATTCCAGGTTATTTCAAGGTGGTCTTATGAAGGTCAGGGGCTCCTAAACATGGCATGGAATGGTCAGGAGACAGGTCACGACATGATCTCTAGCTAAGCTGTGCAGCTCAGGTTAAGTCACTTAACCTCTTTGGATTTAGCTTTCTCATTTGCAAAAGCAGGCAATCTTACCAATGCCATCATTGTCATCAGCAGTTTACCACTCAGTGTGCTCAGAACAATGATGAAACATTTTCCAGGATATTCAGAATGCACCTCTTAAAGCCACAGACAAGTTTTTGAAATATAATGCAGAGATTTCTTTCTTAAATCCCAAATAGTTTTGTGCTTCTTTTGGCTTGTTTGTCTTTCATGTTTTGACTCTTAAGAGGAAGCCACCATGTATTCAGGAAGTTCAGCCATCCAAAATAACTCAGTCTCTCTTGGGGTCCTGTGTGGCTAATATTTTGCTGCCTTTGTTCTTGAATACGAACCAATTCATTTTTTGTTCTTTCAAATTCTGTCAGGGTGATGAAAGGCATGTCAATTCTATCCTCAGTTAACATTTTGAACCCCAAGTATTTTCATAGACCTGAGTCTAAGACAGGAATCATGCGGGGGGGGGGGGGGGGCATTGAGAGAGTTTAGCAAGTAGACGGGCTCCATATGGCTATAGTACTTAATTCTTGCTACATTGTGGGGGAGATGTCATTGTCCTTACTTTATAGGAGGGAGACCTGAGGCCAGAGATGTTAGAGGACCTGCTAGGGTCCCATAGAGTTTATGTAGCCAACTGGATTAGAATCTAGTCTTGATGGGAAATGGTGCTCCTTCCCCCTTGTGGCACCTAAGTTGTTCGGATAAGTCCATGAAACATGACACTTGGCAACTTGGTTGCACTTTTGTTTTTGGTTCCTAGCAGGCCCTCTGACCAACATGACATTTTGTTTCCTTTGGTGTTTCTGGGAACCACAGTTAGCCAGGCTGGCCACTGAGGGGCTGCTTCTCAGGAATGGAGGGAATGGTACTCTCCTCTTTGAGCAAATGTTGCAAAATGAACACTTAGATCTCATCCACTCTCTTCCCAGCTTGCAACTGGAAATATCTCCAAGGAGCTAAGTCCAGAGTCAGTGTCAAGTGCAGGGTGGTTTCAAGCCAACGCCCCACTTGTGTCAAGGGAAGGCAGTCAATTTCTCACCTACCTCCAACTTCCTCAGTGTAGACTTTCTCATATCTGTGTCTCAGCTTTATCTAGTTGTCAGACACCACACAACTAAACGTGATACAAAGCAGACAAGCAAGTAAGAGCCCTTACCCCCCAAGTGTCGCACTCCACTGCCCAAGGTGGGGTCTTTAAGATTGATGTGAGGTGCCAGGGTCCAGCCCCAGCCAGGGGTCCTGAAGGATGAGTGGTGTCGGTGAAAGAAGAGGAGACAGAACAACAGGTTGCAAGTTACACGCAGCCTCCAGAAGGATCTGCTGCCCCTAGAGGGGCCTTTATTTTTATAACTTTTTTGCAGGTATTTTTTCAGGTAGTTAATGGATAGTCTCAAAGCCTGAAACTTCTTTGATTTACATAATTTTCAAGAGTTACAATCTTTTCTGACATACATTGATTACCTAAGCTATTGAGTACATTGTTTAAAATATTTTTCTGTAACCTTTGCCAATCATGATTAAGCTTTTACATTTTCACCTCAATCACTAGGTGCTAGGCTACACAACTAGACCACATGCCTCCTGTCCTATTATTCACTTTTAACTTTAAAGCACACCTATAATTATTTCATTAACCTTTAACTTTAAAGCATACCTATGATTATTGGTAAGCTTTCTTCTAATCTAAAGCCAGTAAAACACACTTAAAATAGTGAAAGCCTATTACTTAAAAGCCTACTACTCTGAAGTGCCTCTAAAATATATCTATATTAATTTTACATATTCTATTTTTAATTTCCAATGTAATTTCCTTTTTTATATGATCTATTTAATTGCCTTCTTAAAGAGTTTCTTTGATCCTTGGTCAAAGTACACCAATTCTTTTTTTTAAGTTCACCAATTCTTATGTCTTTGTAATCTTTAACCACAGGGCAGGCTCTGCACCTCAACCGATTTGCCATTAATATTAACTGTACAACTAAAGATATGAAAAATTATGCTTTCTATATGTAATAAGAATTATAATGCATTCCGCTGTTATATATAAATTTAAAAAATATTAACTATGTGGTTCCCATTCCCATCATACATTCCTGTGTAAGGCAAAGGAGAGTCTGTTAGTGGGGAGAATGTATGTTGCACAGATTATGGCTTTAGAACGGCGGGGGGGGGGGGCTTGGTGTAAATTGTTAAGGTTTTCTTAGGAACCTTGATTTGCAATCTTTTTTTTCGTGAATTTCTTGAGGAATAACACTATTGTTTGTATCCTGAGAGATTGTGAAATGCACCTTGGGGCATGTCTTAATTCTGGAAATTTTCCTGCAACCTCAGGCAACATGTACTTTTATTATGGATTGACATCTGCCCTATTATCCATATCATGAGTATCCTAAACAAAACACTTAACATTCCTGAAGGTTCCGTTTCCAGATGGTGCCGCCCTGCAGTAGCCTCCCCCCACGATATGACCCTGTCAGACAGCGGGTGCAGGGACACCTTCACCAGTGAGGATTTTGAGGATTTTAAAATATGCCGTGGATGGAAGAAAATAAAACAAAACTAAAAACCTCTCGAGTCTACCAGAGGCTTCAGAGCATGTTTAAAAACAGACTGATAATGACTTTTCCTTTCAAGATCATTTTTCCTCCAGAACAAAAAGGAGGTGAACTTGAGGCTGGTGCCGTCCCTTGAAGAGACTGCTGGCTGTCTGCTCTCAGGGGCCCTCGGCATCCTTCCTGGGTCTCTTGCTTTGCTTCCTGCACATCTGCCCCAGGACACAGGCCAACCAGGTAGGGCACCCAGGTCATCAGCGCCAGCCCCGCCTGTCTTCCCTAGGATGTGTCAGGCCTGGCGTCACACTGGGGCAGGTGCACATCTGGATTGGAGTCTGTGGCTTGCTGTGGGCATTTCAGAAAGTATGGACCTTTCTGTTGTCTTCATTTCTAATATCCTCTGTGCGTTCTCTCTTTTTTGCTGAATTAATCTCGACATCAGAGGGTTTGTAACATTATTGCTTTGGACCCCGAGTGGGGCACTGTTTGTTCTCTGCTTCATCATCTCTCCCCTTTCTTATTGGTCTCATTATTGGGGTTCCTCGTGGTGTACTTTTTCCAGTTGAACTTGAATGCTGAGCTCAGTTACTTCCCATCTTTCTCTTTTCCTAGTGTAAATATTTAAAGCTACAAATTTGCTTCAGTGAACTTCTTTGGCTGC